CCGCCCGCGGATCGCCGCAGGCGCATGCGCGCACCTGCCGGTGGGCGGGACACTAGGATTCGCCATTGGTCGAGAATGCCGTCGGGGGCGCGCGGTGGAGAGGCTCGGGGACGCGCTTTCTGGCGGAACCTGAATGCTGGTAGGCGGAGCCCGGAGAACCACAAACACCGAAGACAACGAATGAGCCCGAGGACGCGTGCGGCCATCATCAGCTCCTCCTTTGAGCACGGTAGTTGCACCCCTTACCTTCGGATCCTTGGGCTAGGTGGAAGCGACTGCCGGAGGCGGCGGGGACCGGAGTCGTCCCGACAAAATGGAGATTGGCGAGTGTCTGGATGCTTCCTCTCCATTGCCATCGTCCAGATCGTAACTTAAAAGTTCCATGGTAGCAGATATGTCCAAAAAAAATGTCATTTTTAAAGTACTTCAGTTAAAGTGATGGGGTTTTTGTTGTTTTGTAGTCGGGTTTTTGTTGTTGTTGTTAGGTATATGTTGACACAAAGTAAATAATAGCTATAAAGCAGCTTTCTGAGGAGCTTTTCACCTTCTAAGGCCGTGGGAACACACTCCCACATGGGAGATCCTGGCCTTTTGTAGGATGGAAAGCGAAGGCCTGGGAAAATGGCAATGACTTTCTTTAAAAGAGTAGCCAAAGTACTTACAGAACCCTCTTCATCAGGTGCGGACAGATGTCATGCACCCTTCCTCCTGGAAGCTTAGTTCTGGTTAAATCATCCACTCAGAATCACTTTTCTTTGTTATACATGATTCTAGAAAATTAAGATGAGTCGAACACCAGAATGTATGTAGTTTCAAGAATGGACAACACAGGGAAGGTGTCACTGCTCATGCTTTTGGAGATCAGGAACATCAAGTTTGGAGGCCAGCCCAGACCAAAAGTTCCCCCAAGACCTCATCTTAATGAAAAAAACTAGGCATAGTGGTGCACAGTTGTCATCCAATGGAGTTGGGAGCATAAGTAGGATTCAATAATATACCTCTCAGAGCAAGAAAAGTGAGAGCCTACATGAAAAGTAACTAAAGCAAAAAGGAATGGGAATATGGATAGTGAGTGGTAGAGAATCTGTCTAACAAGTAAGAGGTCCTGAGTTCAATATTCAGTATCTAAAAATACAAATGACAGCTTTTTAACCCTACATATCCCTCACCAAAATCCTCATCAATCACCCTGTTGTGCCATCCCAACTACTATCACTGGAAATACAACTCTTGGCAGATTCAATTAGAACGTAGCATTCTCAAAAAAAAAAAAAAAAAGCTGAAGTCTAAATATTTTAGGAGGATTATACCTAGTTAAGTAAGAGAAAATTGTCCCTGCATTCATTATTTAACAGAATCCCAACCTAAGTACTGGAGATAAAAGAATGAAGAAAACAAAATCCAATGGATAATAAAGTCAATGATTAAGAACATTAATAGCTAATAAACTTCTTATAGCTTAGGATAAAAGTAAAAAAGAGGGCTGGGAAGGTGGCTCAATGGTAGAATGCTTGCCTTGCATGCATGAGGCCCTGGGTTTGATTCCTCAGTACCACATAAGCAAAAAAGCCGGAAGGGGCGCCTTGGCTCAAGTGTAGAGTGCTAGCCTTGAGCTGAAGAGCTGAGGAACAGTGAACAGGCCCAGAGTTCAGGTCCTACGACTGACCAAAAAAAAAAAAAGTAGAAAAGAGTAGGAGGTTAAAAAAAGAAAGAATCAAAAGAGGCGATTTTAAATAGTTAAGGCAACCTTACAGAAAAGGTGCTGTGGGAGCACAGACCTAGGAGATGGCAAAATGAAGAACATGATTACATGAGAAAAGACCTCCAGGCAAAGGGAGGAACCCACACACCCTGAGAGAGGAGCCAGCCTGGTGTATTCCTGGACCATTTGGGAGACCAGACTAGCTAGCATAGACTGGATAAGAAGGGGAGTTGTAGAGATGAGGCAAGGTGATACAAAGAATCAGATAATGCAGAGACTAGTGAGCTGTTATAAGGAATTTGGCTTTCATTCTGAGTGAAATGAGGAGCCCTGGGAAGGTTTTCAGCACAGAAGTGCTGTAAGCTGACTTGTATTTTAATAGGATCATTCCAGCTGTTGTAAAACACAGACTGAAAGAGAACCTGGTAGAAATTTTTACAATAATCTAGGTAGAAAATGATGGTTTAGACAAAGGTCATATTAGTGGCTGTGGGGGAAAAATATCAACAGATTTGGGGTATATTTTAAAAGCTTGAGCAGAATTTCCAGACAGATTAAATATGGGATATAGGAGAAGTCCAAGATTTTTTTTTCTAAAAGGTGAAGCTTACCACTAGTTGCTAAGGACCGTGTTTTATGCTTAGATAATCCCAGCTTCTTAGGAGGCAGAGATAGGAGGACCATAAACACATTTGGAGAAAGCAAGTATTCTTTTGTTGTTAACCTGCAAGTTGATAGGATCTTCCTTGCACCAAAAAAGCGAATTCTTACCCATCACTAAGCCTTCAGTTCGGAATGAAAAAAATCCTATCTCATTACCACCTCAAAACTGGTCACACACAATATCAAATCGTATTTACTATGAACATTTAAAACCTTGGCTTAGCAATAAAAGTATTCCAATGAAAGCAGAAGTAAGGAGGAAAGACCTGGAATAAAATTCTTTACTGTTTGTTTTTACAAATGTCCTGCCCAAGGGAAGGGAGGAAGGACAGAATAGCAGCTGGCAAATCCTCCTGAAACTCATTTCCAGCCAACTGAGAATTCCCAGCTGCCACGGAGCAAGGTATGTTTCTTGTTTTTTTTGTGGTTTTCATCATAGACTGCATAAAGCCAAAGAAACATTGTCTATTCTTTGGTCCCATTCCCTTAGATTCAATAGCACTCCACTCATGACCCTCGGATGAGTTAGCTGTACCTCTCAGGCTTCACTCTCTCTGCACCCCTCACCTTCACCTTATTCTTCCTAGGGCCTTTACTTGGTTCTCCTCACCCTGTAATTCTTATGTGACTCCAAGAAAGATAAATCAAATTACCATAAACGGTGTGGGGAGAACTCCTTCTCTGTCAGACCTCACCCCTCCCATGGACACAGTATGCTTAATCTAGCTTGAGTTCGAATGTCTCTCTTCCCCTGTCACTCTTTGCCATTTCCCTTAGATATTTCAAACGTGAATCGCTCCCCTCTCTCCATCTTACTCAATAAAATAGAGACTATAAGGCTTACATTCCTGCCATTTCATTCCCTCAGCCCCTGACCGCTGCCCCCCTTCCCACTCACTTTTGTTGATTTGTTTTATTAACACACTCTTGCCTCTATATCCAGGAGAACAAGCTCCAGGACTCCCCTTGACACCCAAATCTACAAATGTTCCAAGCTTCTTACATTATGAAGAGCTAGGAGTGTTGGTTCACACCTGTAATCTCCTTGTGATCCCAGTACTAGGGAAAAGCTAAAGTTTAAGGCTAGCCCAGGCTATGTAGTAAAAAAAAAAAAATACAGCTTTTTGCATCTAACCTGGCACACATTCTGAAGTATATTTTAAAGCATTCCTGATGCAATATAAATTCATCAGAAATACTTGTCATACTGAATTATTCAGAAAATAATGCAAGACCAAAAAAAAAAAAGTTCCTTTGTGTTTCAGTTCTGGTACAATTTGTTTTCTGGGTGTTTCCCGCCCCCCTCCCTGGAATATTCTCACTTTGAGGTTGATGGAACCTGCCTGTACTCATGTGAGCCACGTTCTGTTCTAGACACTAAGGAAACAAAGACTCTTCTTTATCGGAGCTTATAGTCCTAGTTGGGAAGTTAGCTGATAAGCAAATGAATGAGGTAATAATAAATGCTATGGGCGGGGGGTAATCAAACAAACATGAGAACGGTGTCTGTTTTTGACAGGGTAGCCAGAACAGGCTTCCAGGTAGTAAAGCAAAGGTGAAGCCAGACTCTGGCCAGTGGGAACTGCAGGACAATGGTCCTGAGACAGTCTTGTCTTTGGTACCTTAAGGGAATAGTGAAAAGGGCAGTGGGCCTGGGGTGGAGTGAATAGGAGGGGAGGGGTAAGAGAGATAAGAGAGATGGAGGAGGTAGCCCCGGCCTGGAGCAGGAGGGCATTTAATGTTCCAATTATTCTCACCAGGCACTCCACCTTTATACTTTATGTGTGTGATACATATTTTTGTTGGCTTGTATTATTAGTTATCCAAAAGGGGATTTCATCATTATATTTCCATATTCGATAGACTGGCACTCTAGCACTTGATCCATAGTTTCACTTCTTCTGTATTATATTTTTCAATTCATTTTTTTCTTTTAATTTCTTTGTGGTACTGGAGATTACACTCAGAGTTTCGTGCTTGCTAAACAGAGTCTACTGTGCTTCTAGTCCATTTTCACAAGTTGAGGTAGGGTCTCCCTTTATGCACAGGTGAGGCTGAGCTGCAAGCTTCCTACTTGGGCTTTCCCAAGGAAGGCACCAGCCTTTGCAACCCAGCCATGTGTGTCCCTCATAACTCAGATAAATGTCCTGTCATTGTTTGGGAGGGAATCTCAAAAACATTGATGCCTAGGCTGACTGACCTCAAACCCAGATTCCCCAATCTCCACCACCAAGGTAGCTAGGGCTACATCTTAATCCACTATTTGACCTGTTATTATTTCTAATTGACACATAATAATAGTAGACATTACAGGTTAGAATGTAGTATTTCAATCCATGTATAAAATGTGTAAAGATCAGGTCAGGGTACTTGATATACCATCGCCTCAGACACTTAGCATTTCAGAACATTGGAAATCCTCTCTGCTGGCTATTTTGAAATATATAATCAATTATTGTCAACCATAGTTATTTGACAGGTTTCTTGGCCTACAGATTTGTTCAGTTCCCTCTTACATACCCCTCAGTAAGAAAGAAAGATGGAGCTGAAGTTTATATCCTTGCCTTAAATATATACTCCCCACTTACTCTATATGGCCATTTCTACTCCTGTTTTAAATGTCGCTGTTGAAAGCCCTGTATGACATTTCTCTAACGGAACCTGTCAGTACATCTCAGCTATGTTCCATACTACCTTGTTGTAGCATGGTCATAGCAAAGTCTACATCTGTCTCTCTAATTTGGACTCAATGGCAAAAACTACCCTACCATTGGGCTTAGGGCACGGAAAGTGCTTGATAAAAGCACTTTAAATATATTTCCTATGCTCTCTTCTCCCTTGGCTACACATGCTGTGATTTGATTCCTGACTCCTGCAGCAGCCTCAAGCAGGTCTTCCTACCCTACCACTACAGTGCATTCTCTATCCAACAGGCCACATCTGGCCTCTGCCTGTTTCTGTATGGCCAAAAATGGTGGTTTCCATTTTTAAATCAGGAGGGGAATCAAACGCAGATTGTATGGCACATAAAATTATGTGAATTTCAAATTTCAGAGTCGGTAAATAAGACTTAGTTGGAACACGGCCACATTTGCATTTGCTTTTGTCTGGGACTGCTTTCTAGCCATAACAACAAAGTTGAGCAGTTGTGACAGAGACTGTATGGCTTAAAAAACCTAAAATATTTATTTTCTGGTTGGGCAAGGTGGTGTACATGTGTAGTTTCAGCTATTCTGCTAGCTGATGTGAGAGTATTACTTGATCCCAAAAGTTCAGAGCCATTCTTGGCAACACAGAAAGACCTTGTCTCAAACAAACAGAAAATCTATGTTATCTAGATGTATGATCTTTTCAACACACATATAATCATGTCACTCCCATGCATTAAACCCTTCAGTTAAAGGAGTTAGAGGTATGGGAGGGTAGGACAAAGGGTAAAAGTGTTGAAGCCTGGTGAGTGCTATCTGGAGTTTTATTCTTTCCTGTCTCCTTGTGTATGCTCTAGATTCTGTAATAAAGTCTCTCTTAAAAAAAAAGGGGGGGGGGCTGGGAAGGTGGCTCAGTGGTAGAGCACTTGCCTTGCATGCATGAGGCCCGGGTTTGATTCCTCAGCACCACATAAGCAGGAAAAAAAAAAAAAGGAAATCAGAAGAAAAAAATAATTCTTAGATTTCTGTCTGTTGTGGTAAGGATAAAAGGACTATTTCTTAAGTCGATACTGGTACTGGTGGCTCACACTTGTAATCCTAACTATTCAGGAGGCTGAGAACTGAGAATCACAATTCAATGCCAGTTCAGGCAGAAAAGTCTTTGAGACTGTAGATCCAACAAAAAGCCAGAAGTGGACGTGTGGCACCCACTTTGAGTGAAAAGACCAAGTGAGAGCATGAAGCCCTGAGTTCAAGCCGCAGGACCAGTGTCAAAAAATAAATGCTCCTTAACATGGCCTCCAGACCTGCTTTGGTCTAGCTCTTACTATCACCCTCTGAGAGAGTCAGGGTAGAGAGGAAGCCTCTTCATATTGATGACAAAACATTCAAAATTGATAACATGGTAAGAAATTCAGTGCTTCGAAGGCTAGTCTACAAAACTGACTTCAGTTTGATTTACCTTGGTTGGATTGTGAGTTGCTTTGCTTTGTTTGGTAACCAGTGGGGCAGGGATCCATGACTTCTCCTCCATTGTCAGCTCGCTCTCCAGGACCTCACCTCCCCTTACTCACCACCTCTGCTTCTCAGCTCATTCCTCCTCTGACGCAGGTCTGGCTGAAGTCACCAGTGGCCTTAACTCACTGACCCAGTAACTGTGTTTTGTCTTCGTCTTTCATGACCCTCCTGCCAGGGGCAGGAAGCTGTTACTCATTCCTCTTCCCAGCACATGATTTTCCTTTGACTTGAATGACAACATCTTGTGGTTTTCCTTCTACCTGTCTGATAACCTTTGAAGATTCTTTGTTCTTCACCAGCTTTTATGTGTTAAAGGTCTTTGACTCTCAGTCCTAGCCACTTCTTGTTTTCATAGACTGCTCTCTTCCTAAATAAGTCATTTTTTTCCTTTTTTGAGATAGGATCTTACTATGTAGACCAGGCTTGCCTGAACTCAGGATCCTCCTGAACTGCCTTTCAACTACGGGAATTACAGGTGTGTGCCATCACAGTTGGGTTTTATCTACATTCTTAAACTTCATCTATACATGTGTCCAGTTTTTAAATTTCCAACTCCAGACTGTTTTCTCTGGGCTCTAGAACTGTGCTATTCATTAGGTACATTTACCTCCTTTTTTATTTGGAGAGAAGGCCTCATACAGGCCAAGCATATGCTTTCTGACTGAGCAGTACTCCCAGCCCGGATGTGTCACTACTGAGTACTTAAAATGTGACAAGTGCAACTAGGAACCAAATGTTTTATTTTAATGGCCACTAATAGCTAAAACATTAGTGTAGACATAGAATACTTACCTCATCACAGGAAGCTCTATTGAAGAGTCCTGGATATCGGGATCCAGACACTACCTACTTGACTACTTCCTCTTGTAAAACCAACACACATAAATCCAAACACATCATCTCCCAAGGGCCATTGGTCACCAGCAGAGTTGGCTGCCATCCGTGTTCTCTCTGATCAAAAGGGTTTTCTTAGCTGGCACCAGTGGCTCATGCCTGTAATCCTAGCTACTCATGAGGCTGAGATCTAAAGATTGTGATTCAATGCCAGCCCAGGCAGGAAAGTCTTTGAGACTCATCTCTAATTACCCACTAGAAAACCAGAAGTGGCACTATGACTCAAAATGGTAGCATGCTAGCCTTGAGTGAAAAAGCTCAGGGACAGCACCCAGGCTCTGAGTTCAAGCCCCACAACCAACAACAACAACAAAAAAGTTTTACTCTAAGGAATGTACATCTATTTCTTCCTAGTCTATATTGAAACACAATATGTTAAATCAGAATGAACTTTTTTTTTCTGTCCTCACATCTCAGCCACTGAGCCACCTTCCCAGCCCTAACCATTAATTACTGAATGATTGTAATATGCTCTACTGTAAGTTTTTCTCCAAATAAAGATAAAACAATTAGAAAAGAAAGAACTAATGAGATTGTTTTCTATCTGGCTATTCAAACCCTATTTAGGTAGAGTCCAGAACTCACTTCTATGAACTGTTATTTGTAACGTTTAAGTTAGTTACTAATGGATAGTTGAGAATACTACCTCCTACCCGGTATTATTATAGAATGTATATTGGTTGAGGACAAATAGCATTTCGAAGTCTATGATAAACTCAGACTTTGTTGCTTTTGTTAAAGATCAGAGAGAGGGTTTTAAAGTAACCCACATGAAACAAAAAGGCAAGTAGAAGACTATATATCCAAAAGAGGGAGCGAGTAGCATCTCTATGGAGTAAATTTGCACTTCTAACTTGTGAGTTCCCAAGTTGTAACCACTGAAGCATTTGTTTTCTTATTTGTAGTCTGGAAGAGTTTATAAACTGATTTGGAAAAATATAACTCTGTTCTCATACATACTTACATTTGAATAGAATGGAAAAGACTTTTTTAAAAAACTGAAACATGTTTTGTTAAAAATAATTATGGGTGTATATTACAAAGAATTAGCTGTACCAAGTTCTCCTGGTACCAGGACTTGAACTCAGGTCCTCATACTCTCACCACTGGCACTCTACCACTTAAGCCACACCTCCATTCCAACATTTTGCTTGTGAATTGGAAATGGAGTATCACAGCCTTTTCTGCTCAGGCTGTCTTTGAATTATGATCCTCCAGATCTCAACCCCCAGAGTAGCTAGGGCTCCACACATGAGCCACCAGGACCCAGCTTAAAGGCACTAAAAAAAAAAAAAGAATCCATGGGTAGAGAATCAGTAGCTTGTAATCCTAGTTACTCAGCAAACTAAAATCTGAGGATCACAGTTCAAAGTCAGCCAGAGGAGAAAAGTCCATGAAACTCTTACCTCCAATTAACCAGCAAAAAGCTGGCAGAAGATGGAGGAGTGGCTCAAATGGAAAAGTTCTAGTCGAGCAAAAAAGGCAAGAGGTAGTGCAAGGCCTTGAGTTCAAGCCCTAGCACTGGCACCCTAAAGGAAGGAAGGAAGGAAGGAAGGAAGGAAGGAAGGAAGGAAGTCTTGCAAGCAAAAAGATTTCCTCTAAGACAAGAGATGCACAAACAAGGCCTATTATCCCACGGGTGCTATCAAATCTAGCTTCACCTAATTCCACGTATCTTAACCTCCACCCATCTTATCTGAGACTGCAATCCTCTGCAGGGCTGATGGAATGCAGCTGTGATACTTCAGATTAGAAAGTATCACAAAAATTCTTACAGCTTCTCACAAGTATCAGCAGAGATCTATTCAGTCTGAAGGGCCCACACTTCTTGTAGCTCCAAGGGAAGCATGGCCAGTAGGCAGGAGCCATCTACAGGAGACAGTGCAGAGTGGCTAATCAGGCTGTGATTCAACTGGTGTATGGATGAGAGGAGGTGTAAATTCAAACCAGAGTCCTTACTGAGATAGTAATCAGAAAGTAAGTGGCAGATGACCAAATTGTGGGCCGAACAAGCTCAAGTTGCCAGACAAGTTATCATAAACAAGAGAGAGCAAAAAACCCCAGTGAAATATAACACCACAGATGAAGCCAAGGGAGAGGTGTTCTGACACCTAGCTGTGTTAAATGAACCCACTGTAACTCAAGTCATCTGGGATGCAACTGCAGGGTCTTGCCCCAGAGAAATTGTATTTTGTCTTAAAGGGCTAGACCTCTCCCTCAATCCAATGGCAGAGTATTTTACTCTGGCTCATTGGAGATTAGTCATGTTCACAAAGGGGATTGTGGGATGTTGACTTCTTCTCTCTACTTTCTGGTTACCATAAAATGACCTTTGGTTCACCACCACACTGTCACCATTTTGTCCTGCCTGCCACAGGCCCAAATCAACAGATCAAGCAACTATGGATGGAAAATCCAAAAGTGGGAGCAAAATAAACCTCCTTGCTTTTTAAGTTCATTATCGCTAGTTATTTGTTATACTAATGGAAAGCCAAGAATACAATTTCTATGTTTTCATGAGTTATTTCTGGGTAGTAAGTCAAGGTACACACCCACCCTGAAATCTGTAGCAGTAGCTCTCCCAAAAAAGTCTGATAAATTCCCTGCTATGATCTTTCACTAGATGATTAGGAAAAATCTATGAATATTAATAACACTGCCTTTTATTGTTCCATGCCAGCCCCTAAAGTTATACAACATGCAATATCTTATTAAATCACCACACCAAACCTACAAAGTAGATACTATTAATAGTATCAATTTAAAGATAAATTTTGACTTAGATAAGTAACTTGTGCAAGGTCACATATTACTGAGACATAGTGACTGGTAACCTTAATTCAAAAACCTCAGTCTTTATCTTTTAAGTCAAAGTTATACACAATGTAAAGTATACATGTTTTGGTTTGGTTTGTTTGTTTGTTTGTTTTTTGCTAGTCCTGAGGCTTGAACTCAGGGCCTAGATGCTGTCCCTGAGCTTCTTTTGCTCAAGGGTAGCACTTTACCACTTGAGTCATAGTACCACTTCTGGCTCTTTCTGTTTCTGTGGAATCGAACCCAGGGCTTCATGCATAGTAGGCAAGCACTCTATCAATAAGCCACATTCCCAGTCCTAAAGTGTGTATGTTAAGGGCATAATTACTGAGTTGTGGAGAATATGTAACCCTTGCAAACCAAATCAGCCTGTTACCTTTCTACTCCTTCATACATACTAATCTTCTTTCTGACACTAGAGACTAGTTTTGCTTATTCTAGAATGTCATATAAGTAAAATTAAACAGTATGTACTCTTGTGTTTGATTTCTTTTGTGTTTTAGTCCAATGAAAGTTTATTTTTTGTAAATATTTCATTGTTACAAATTGACTCAATTACTTTGTTCGTTTGGTGCTAGTCCTGAAGCTTGAACTCAGAGCCTGGAAGCTGTTCCTGAGCTGCTTTTGCTCAAGGCTAGCACTCTATTACTTGAGCCACAGCTCTACTTCTGGCTTTTTTTCAGGGGGAGAGGATAGCATTTAGTAGAAATTAGAGTCTCACAGACATTCCTTCCCAGGCTGGCTTTGAACTGTGATCCTTAGATCTCAGCCTTCTGAGTAACTAGGATACAGGAGTGAACCACCAATGTCCAGCTCAATAATTCAGATGTTACAACCTTGCAAATTGTAAAACAATAAAAGTCTCTTATCCCATGGGGCCATCTTGCAAACCTATTTTGGTGTTTTATTGTTATATTCTTAGATGTCATAATTCCACATACTTTTACTCTGAACAGATAAATGAGTTAAAAGTTAAGCATCTCTTGCCTTAAAGAGATATTTCAAATTTCAAACTCATTTTACATACAGTTTTAAAAAGTAACATTAATGAGATGAATCCTCACTTGTACAAAGCAGAAGTTATATCTGTTTACTTCTTACATTATCTGTTTTTAAAATTTCACCCATCCTCAGCTTTATTGAGGTATAACTGACAAAACTATATGTGTCTGTGTATTCAAAGAGAGAAGGATGATGCTTTGATGTAAATATGCATAGTGAAATGATTGTTATGATCTACATGGGAAGTGTAAATTGGAGGATTGTGGACCAGGTCCCCAGGTATACTTATAAGACCTTATCCAAAACATGGTAAGAACAAAAAGGACTGAAGGCATGTCTCAAATGGTAGAGAAGCTGCCTAGAAAGTGCAACATTCTAAGTTCAACCCCCAGTATAAATGAAAGAAAGAAAAAGAAAGAAATCCAAATTTGATAGTGGTGACCGTCTTAAATGTAATAGTATTCATAGTAGGTGTAAATGGTAAAACAGCATTTAAAAGATAGACTGAGCTGGGTGCCAGTGGCACACACCTGACCCCCTAGCTACTCAGGAGGCTGAGATCTGCCAGCTTGGGCAGACAAATCTGTGAGACTCTTTTCTCCAATAAACTACATAGAAAAAATGGGAAATGGTGTAGTGGTTCAAGTGGTAGAGTGCTAGCCTTGAACACAAAAGAGGCTCAGGGACAGCACGCAGTCCTGAGTTCAAGCCCCAGGAATGGAAAATAA